TGTAAACCTAATCCTCCATAATATATAAAGGGGTCCTTGGCTCACAAAATTGGCACAAGTGTGTGAAAATAAGAGTGGGCCGATTTTAGTGTGCAGACATATTCTCTCAAGTTCTTCCAAGGTGTTTTGGTGATTTGTGATTCCATTTGAGGCTTCCACACTATTGGGGCTAAGCTCTTAAAGCTTGAAGACATCAAGCTACATCAAAAGGTATGTCATCTAACTAGAACTTTGTAGTATATGTGCTTCATAATATGCTAGTTAGGATGAAACCTTGGAATAGTTAATATTTGCATGTATAATAGAGAAAACATAGATCTAAGGTTTATAGGGTTGCATGTACACCATAGGAGTGTTAGAATGCTCAAAACCCAACAATAACGCATATCATATTAGTTGTAAAAGTTATCTCAACCACATAACGCATATCATATTAGTTGTAAAAGCTATCTCTACCACATAATCCATGCATACAAACATATAAGGATGCCATGAGCTCCCCAAAGGTCTTACTCCAGGATGTCATGGGCTCCCCCACATGGTCGTACACCTAAGTGCCATGGGCTCCCCCATGGTCTTTAGTTAGGAATGCCATGGGCTCCCCCACATGGTCTTATATCCAACTACCACGGGCTCCCCCCCGGGGTTTTCCATGCAACTCACATATATAATCAACTAACATATCATATATCCCAGAGGTATCTATCATGCTACCTAACACATACGTAAACATATAAGGATGTCGTGGGCTCCCCCAAGGTCTTACTCCAAGATGCCATGGGCTCCTCCACATGGTCTTACACCTAAGTGTCATGGGCCCCCATGGTCTTTACCTAGGAATGCATGGGCTCCCCCACATGGTCTTATATCCAACTGCCACGGGCTCTCCCCGGGATCTTCCATGCAATAAAATACATAATCACTAGCATACCACTTAGCATAAAGCTAACTATCATACCACATATCTCTACTACAACTAGTGTACCACATATCATAAAATGGGTCGGCCTTGGTGCCGTAGACCCATTGGTATGGTGAGAAGACTCACCTCGAATGCAGAAGCTTCCCGAATGACATCCTTAACTGCTGTCCTGCCAGCTTCCCGAGCTGTCACTACCAATCAATATACCCAATTAGCAATTGGCTTCTAATCCATAACTATAACTTCATCCCCGGGGTAAAAGACCATTATACCCCTATTCTATCCCTTGACCAAAGCTTTGGCCCGAGATATAATCTGAAAGGCCCCAAAGGCCAATTAATCCACTAATGGCCCAATTTTCCGAATTGGGCCCAAACCTAATAGTCCACAAGGCCCAATACTAAAAACTCCCCAAGACCCAATCCATGGCCCAATTTTCCAAATTGGGCTCAAAACCATTATGGGCCTCCACAAATATCAACCCCAAAACTTGATGGCCCATTAGGGCGCAAAACACCCAGTCCAAAACCATAAGATCCATAAAGGCCCATTAATGGCCCAATTTTCCAAATTGGGCCCATAGTCCTTATTGGGCCTCATCCTAAGATCCAATCCTTTAATTAGTCCAGAACACAACCACCCTAATAGTCCATTAGGGCCCAAGAATTGAGGCCCAAAACCTAAGCCCAAAGTCTGAAATCCAACCTGACTGATTACGCAGGGCGTACTCAGCAGTACGCTGCGTGTACTCACTTAATGGCTTGTACGCTGCGCGTACTTTCTTGTACGCCCAACGTACTACCCTCTAGACCCACTTCTTCCGTTAAGCACTTAATTCTTTAAGCCATAAGTCCAAACCACTTATCTGAGTTCCTCTTAACGTCTAAATCCATAAAGTCATGGACTTGGTGACTTTGCATGTTCCACATAAGCTCAAACTCCAAAAATGATAATCTACTTCCATGAAAATGGTCTTAACTCATGCATGAACCCATTAAGACCTCCAAGATGGCAACTTTCTTCCATGGGGACTCATTTAACACTGAGAGTGGCAACTCTAAGCCTAAGAATCGGATTTTAACCATAAAGCTTCATCCTCGGGACCAAAATGAACTAAAACTCACAAATGAGATATCTAAGATATCCATGGTCAATTTCAGAGCTTTATACCTTCATCAAGCTGACAATGAGTCACAAAAGCCAGATCCATAAGCTTCTTCTTGATCCCCATCTTTGCATCAAACTCCATCTTCTTGAGAATGGGCCAAATACTCCAAAAATGGACTCAATAAGCTCAAAATGCCACCATGAATGATATATGACGATTTCTAGGGTTTTAAAGGGTGGAGGCTGAAGATATTAGGGTTAGGTTATGAGATAAGGAACTTAATTAGGGTACAAGACCCTAAAAAGGGTTCTGATCTGACTGACGTACGCCCAACGTACTCCTGGTAACATTCGCGACCATCCTGTTCAATACGTCCAGCGTACTCCAAGGTACGCCCCGCATACTACCTTTTTCACTAGTACGCCCCACGTACTCTTTGTGTACGCCCCGTGTACTCGGCTAAACCTGAAAACCACGAAACTTCCGAATGCCATAACTTCTTCGTTATAAGCCCGATTCCGACGATCCTTATATCCACGGAAAGGTAACGAGAAGCCCTACACTTATATAACAACTCAAACCTTTCTTAAGACCTTCCGAACAAAATCCATTTTTCCATAAAAGCCCGAACTGACACTTTACCGAAATACCCCTACGCTCCAAAATACGAACCGAACACCCGTATCACTTCTAATGCATCACCCGCACCCAAATGGGCCTAGATCTTACCTTTTCAAAAGCCATAATCCTTATGATGACCGATCTTCGGGCCACAGCCTCAGACTAGGAATCGATTCGGAACAGGATGTTACAGCGAGTTTAGGTCTGTTGGGTCCGGATAAATCGGGTTTAAGAACCGGATTGGCATGTGGTTTTTTCCAACGTGTACTTTAGAGTTTGTATATAACTTTAGACTATAATTTTGTCGATTTTGGTTTTATATTCAATGAATTACAGTCTCCAAAGTCGACATATCGAAGCTGGAAATTTTCAGTTTTTTAGTTTTTTTTTTGTATTCTATGAAAATTTTAAAACATATCTATCTAATTCGTTTGAAGTCGGATAAACATGGATTTTTTCCAACGTGTATTTTATTGTTTTTGCATGATTTTCGACTACAATTTTGTTATTTTTGGTTTAATGTTCAATGACTTACAGTCACCCAAAGTCGTGATCATATCAAAGCTGGAAATTTTCATATTTTTAGCCATTTGTTTTTGTACTCTATATTCTAAGAAAATTTTAAAACATATGTATCTCACTCATTTGAAGTGGGATTCATATTAGGTTTTTCCAGCATATAGTTTAGAGTTTATACATGATTATAGACGATAATTTTGTCATCTTTGTTTTCAAATTCAATGACTTACAATACCCGAATTCTGGATATCAAATGTGAAATTTTTTCAAAGTTCAACTCACTAAGTAATTACCAAATAATTTTGGTTTTCCAGATTTTCTGGTTCTAAACTCACTCTACCCGGTTCCACCCTACCCAATTTGACATTTTCGAGTTTTTTGGTTGTAGACCCATTTTATTTGGTACAATACCTGGAACCGAACCGGAACCAATACTTTTATACCGGCCAATCTAGTTTTCGGTCCTACAAATCCTGTAAACCTCGGGTTTTCTGGGTATGATCCATCTAGAACGGGTTTAGACCCACTTTTTATCCATAGTGGATACTACATAACGACAAAAAAAAAATACAACAAAATCAGAAATAAAGCCAAAATTTGAAGAACGAAACTGTATGTGCATGACCATGTGCGGTTGTACAAGTTTTTAAGGCATAATTTGTGCATTAAAAAGTTGTACAACCACAGATGGTCATGTCATATGCGGTTTCCCTCTTCATTTTCCCCTATTTTCCGATTAAAATCATACAGAAAAAATACTAAGTTTCAACATAAATGCAAAAAACTAACTATATGATCACTTACAATCTTATTTAGCTGAGCCTCGATTTCAGCCATTTGATAGAGATTGTCGGCGGAGAGAAGAGTGAAAAATGACCTACAATCAATGTTTTAAAAACCGGTTTTTTAGTTGAACCGGTATGGTGACCGGTTCCCGATTCAACCGGTTTCTATAATTTTCATCTTTTTTATTCTATTTTCCTACACATGCATACATATATAAATCATGAATTTGACGTTTACAATTTCAAACATTAAAAATATACATAAAAATAAATTGTAGATCAATCCAAATACATTAAAATAACACATAACCATAAGTTTTATTGTTTTACATCAATCCATATACGTCAAAAAGAAAATAAAGTATAATACCGAAACAAAATATAGTTTTAGATGAATACAGACACATCAAAATAGTTTATAACATTTACCATATGTTTTTATTTAGAGAAAACTAAATATATTTGAAAAAAATCACCAAAGTTTATTATGAAATGGTTCATTTCCATGTGTTTTTATTCGGTTTAACCGGTTCAACCGTTTTATTTTGATCGGTTCAACAAGATTTTTCTAAAAACCGCCTGGTTCAATCTAATGTAGAAATCGACGTAAAATTGGTGATAGTTGAACCGCTCCCTCTCCCGGTTCCCACTACAACAATAAGCAGCTATAGAGACGAGGTCTACAGGGACGACATATGTCGTCCCTATAGACACCCTATAGGGACGACATGTCGTCTCCATATAGTTGACAAATTTTTTTTTGACTTTTGCAGCTACAGTGATCTCAACATGTTAAAGCGGGAAGGAAACTGGATTAGGCGCGTTTTGGGGAAGGCTATAGGGACGACTTGTCATCCCCATAGCTTTCTACAACTTAAATTAGGAGAACAACATGCTTTGTTTCATTCACGCACACTCAATCATTAGTCTCTATCTCTCTCTCTCACTCTCGATCGGAGATTCTCCCTTCCCTAATTTCAACCATTATCTTCTCCTCTGGCGACTTCCTCACCTCCCACTCCCCGTGCATCTTCTTCCTCTCTTGATGGATTCTCATGTTAGTTGTCGAGCACCACCATTAGGCTTAACAACGTCGATTAATTTCAACGCCGCCGATTCTGACTATCGGCTTCCTTTTCATATCCAGTTACGATTACTATCGAATACAAGCCCTACATTGGCCACCAGGTTAGTAGTTCTCTGTTTGAACCTATAATTGAGGTATATGTTAGCAATTATGTATTTGAAACTGGAATTGAGATATAGGTTAACGATGATGACGACGACAAACTCAAATTCGATAGACATTTGTTTTCAATTTTGCTCTGTACGGTTTCTTTGGCTGCAGCAAGGTTATTGTATGTTCAAATGGCTTATGTCGGAAGCTTATCTTACACCATACCAAAAATCAAGGTAAGTTATATTATTGTTTAACCTCATCTTTGTTTTTACAAATCTCAATGACTCTGTGATGTAAACAAGTTAGCTGAAATCATGTCAATTTGTTGTATGTACAACTCGGTAATCTTCTAAAAAGTTATAGACTATGATAAGTTACATCTTCAGTAGAAGAGAAAGCTGAGCCGGATGAATTTAGCCCAAGAAATTTTCAATTTGAGCATTCTGTTTGTGTTTGCCTATAGAAAAGTTTGTATGTTTTTTATTTTGTTTGTAGGGAGGTAGGGCTAGGGTGTTCATGTACCAAAAGGTACATCCATAAGCAAGAAAACAAATGTCCATATATTGACTCTGTTTTCATCTCTGTAGGAATTTAGCTGGCGAAATTGCACAAGAGTATGCGAAAAAAGTTATTCTTAATATCATTGCACACAACTTCCTTCTATCCTTAAAATGACCATTTTACCCTTCAATCCTCACCAGGTTTCTCAATTTCTGGCTCGACAAAAGAACGCAAAGAAATATATTCTTGTTCATTGCACCCATGGGCATAATCGTACAGGATATATGATTATTCATTATCTCATGAGAACAATACCAATGTCTGTAACTCAGGTCATTGGTATTGTTCTCATGAGATAATGAATAATCATATATCCTATTGACCCATGAACAATACCAATGTCTGTAACTCAGGTCTGTTATTTTATTGCTTTTTAAATTCATATCATGTTAGTTATAACTTATAAACTTACAAACCACTTGGGTTGTGGTGACTTGGTAAGACATGTGGAAGATATGGTGGATAACCTATTGACCCATGTTCAAATCCTGGCACTACTCAGCCATTGTGGCCATGGAGGTTCGCCTGCAGTGACTCCAGAGCATGAGGCAAAGCCTCATGTTTGCAGCGGGGGATTAGTCGGTGCGCGAAAGCTGGCCCGGAAACCCTCGTTAGGGAAGTTCCCTTTCCAAAAAAAACTTATAAACTTACACCAGCTATGTATAAATTACACAGGCAATAAAAATATTTTCCGAAGCACGCCCTCCAGGGATATATAAACCAGATTATATTGATGCATTGTTTGCTTTTGTATTTGAGAAAACTGGAAAATAAACAAAGAATAGGAGTTGGTTGTAAATTCTATACAATATCTATAGAGACGACTCTTCGTTGCTATAGGTCTACTATGGGGACGACATGTCGTCTCTATAGGTCTAGCTCTGGGGGCGACGTGTCTTCTCTATAGGTCCAACAATAGGGATGACAACCACAAACCAACAACAACGATATGTCGTCTCTAAAAGGTACCTATGACGACGATATCTATAGTGACGACCCAAGCTATCTATTGCGACGGGGCTATAGCGACAAAGGCCATAGGGACGACTTGTCGTCACAACCACCTATAGAAACGACTTTCTATAACCTATAGAGATGACATTTGTCGTCCCTATAGGTCTCGTTTCTTGTAGTGATCCCAGTCCAACCGGTTCGACCGGCCAGTTTAAACCGGTTTTTAAAACATTGCCTACATTATCTTTTTTGTTTCTTGTTGATGGCAGGGGTGGAACTAGGAATTTTCGACAGGGGTAGCACATTTTTTTTTCCGATAAAATATAAAACTAATACCAAATTAACCACAAGAAAAATTCACTGGTCATATAACGAGTAATATACAAAGATGTTAGTTGCATTCATATTACAAACTTTTGATCCTGAAAAGTTTATAAATTCCTGCATGAACATTAACAAATAAAAATAGAGAAAACAACAATGATCAAAAGGGAGTCAGCTTAATAGACAAAGTCTATGTATGTTGTGTCCATCCACATCATGTTAGAGATATAAGCAGGAGACCACTCAAATATTGTTAGTCATGATAAAATTGTTTCGATCTAGTACTTTAGGCGTAACATCAAACACTTGGAAGGCATAATGAAATAACCCTTAGCACTTACCAATTTCCAGCAATAAGGATTGCCCAAATGACTTAAAACTTATCAACAAGTGCAAATGAGATTGATTATGAAAAAAAGAAACAACAATACATAAACCCATTTGGAATCTAAGTCAAAAACGAATTGGGAAGGATATGATACTCTTGAGTCAGCTTTGACTCTTTCAAAGCAATCGTTATGATATCTTTGAGAAAATGGAAGCACCATATTGAGAATAAATTAAGTGGGTTAAGATTGAATCGAGCAAGTAGTCTTCCTGAACAAACATTGAGTCGATTTTGATCAAGTAAAATTGAGTGTGAAAGTGATTATTTGAAGAACCAATTTTAACAAAATCATAATTTTGAGAATAAAGTGGGTTAAGAACACATTCTTCATCTAATCATCTTCCTCTACAAGGTCTAAGAAGTAGCATCTGGGTAATCTAGTAGTAGCACCAGGGAACATCAAAAAATTTATACCTCTCTAACAAACTTGAGGGGTAGCAATTCTACATGTGGGCTACGAAACAACAATCCATTAACCAAAATCGAAGTCAAACACATGTGTCAAATGGCCAAACCGCATGCAACATCAGAAACCGCATGCGAGTTAATCTCGTCTACAGTTTATATGACTATTTTCTGACAAATGATAATTTTTTGCTACTTTATGAAAAGTCATTTAGGGATTAGATTGTACTTGTAATTTTCTCATTAAAATTAGCGTAAAATAAAAATATTAGCAGGAAAATTCAATTAAGTATGGGCCGAAAAGGATTTATTGTACACTATTATTTAAAAACACTGAAAGATTAAGATAAGTTTAGTTTTATCAGTATATTTATTAAGTATTAATAATTTAATATAGTGCATTTATTACATTAACGAGATAATAAACAAAAGAAACTTAGATTTTGAAAATTAACTATTTAGTTATTGATTTTACGTGGAGACTGAGTTATCCGGATGTATATATAATTAGAAGCCCACAAGGAAGCTTTACATCCAAAACCCTAATATTTAAATATGTCGTTCCTAAATTACCAATACACCTCTAATCTTCATTCTCCCTCCATATATTCTTGCCGATTTGAGCATGGGCAATTTGATCATTACACATAACCATCCAAACTAAAAAAGGAAACTACATCCGGTATAAATCCACATCTACTCTCAATCTTCATAATACACATACCAACATAGCAAAATCAAATCGGCAAGATCAGAAGGTGTTGAAGCTCAAGCTCCATGGATATTGAAAGCAGTTGTTACAATGGGTTAGAAACCGATAAACTGTTCTTCAAGAAGCTAACTGCAGCCTCCAACAACGACGACGTTGAAGGACATACACCCATGTTGTTGGCCTACAATGATCATGATCGTATCCGACACATGCGGAATTTCCTACGTGTCTACCCTTTAACTAAACCCAGAGACGATGAGAAATCCATGATCATGAAGAAGAAGAATTACTTGCATAAAAAGATTTCAACGTTTGTTTCTTTGTTGTCGTGGACAATAAGGACGATAAAGTCTGATTAATCTTAATTGATCGATGTATATATATGGTTAATTTGGCGTTTAAAAACTTTTTGTTCGTGTCTAGGGTTTTTGGTTGCAAATTAATTATTCTTAATATTTAGTTAACATATCATACTGCATATATCTTTTACCTACGATCGTGTCTTTTATGGGTTTGGATATTTGAGTGATATATATTAAAAAAATCATCATTTAACCTTTTTCAAAACGATGATTATAAAGGTTCATGATGAAATCTACGCGTGACTGTCTTGGTTCAACATTTATTTATTTATTTTAAATTTTTTTTTTGAACCGATCAAATAACACCCCGCTAAGTATCACTAGTACAAAACTGATTTAATGGTGCCATGGCTATTTTTTTTGGTGCGGTTGATATTCAAAATCGCATCATTAAATAAGATTTGCATCAACAAACAAAGAAACCGCATCATTTAATATATGTATTGGTGAATGATGATGATGATGATGGGGGACAAGTGATCTTGTGTGAAGAAGTTGTTTCGATTATGGGTGATGAAAATAATGTGAAAGGTAAGGTTAATTACATTATTGACCCTGGTTTGAAAGCTAGACATGCCCTCGGGTTTGTTATAGATAAAGATGAACTTGCACTGTGTTGGTGAAACTGAGTATTTGTTGTTTGGAAAGTGAACCATTGAAAAGATTAAGTATGAATGAGATTGTTTCTACTCTTATGATCATTCAAATGGATGCACAAAGGTCGGATACCATGTTTATGGTGTAGGGTTTTTAAGATTAATTGTTTTTAAGGTTAAACTTTGATGTAAAGAACTTGTTGAAGGATGTATAATTGTATATTCAAGGAGTTGTTAGTTTCTAAGGACAAACACTCACATAGAAAGGAGTGGAGACTTAAAAATCAGAATAGTCAAGTAGTATAAGCCCTAGTTCATTTAATTTGATTGTGCTTTTCATACAATATAATAATATATACTTTCATACTTATGTATGATTTCACTTTCAACTTTATTGTTTTTATCCTTTATGTGAGGTACGACTACATACTTCTTACTTCTTTATTACCTAAGTTCTATAGGATCAATTTGCTACAAAATTGATAGTGACATATAAACAACTTGACTTCTTATATTATAAAAGTCATATAAAGCATTTGTTAATGGTGAGATCATCGTATATCCTACTCATGTTACTAAGATAAGAATCTTAAGCAAACAATATAAAAACATAAAATCTTCTTCAAATTAGATAAAGAATTTATCTCAATGGCATCATGTATTCAAACTCTCAATTTCACAAAGATCTTTTTTATCATTAGTTATTGAAAAACTATCATAATAAACTCCATAAACTCTTTGAAGATCCACACTCATTAAATCATCATTCATCTCTATACTTTCTTCTTCTACATATGCAGCCTCCCTCAACTTTCCTTCTTTCCATAAACTCTTCACAAGCAAACTCTTTGTAGAAACATCAAACATCAAATCATAACTTTTCATATCTTCAAAAGCTCTAAAACCCAAAGCAACTCTATTTAATTTGCAATAAACACAAATTAAAATCTTAAACATATCACTATCTGGTTGTAATCCACTTTGCTTAACCATCCAAAACAACCTCTGAACCGTTTTAACATCCCCCTCAACTCCAAACCAATGCATTAGTTTACAAAAAGTTTGAATTTCCGGAACTACCCCTGATAAAATCATCTCATCTAATGTATCCAAAACCTCACAACCCATCTTACATTTCCCTAATGTTGTCAAGAGAGATGAGTATAGGGACAAAAGAGACTTTTTTGACAAATTCCCACAAAGGGTATTTAAATCTTGAAAGATTCTAAGAGCTGCTTCACCATTGTGTGAAATTCCATAGTAATCAATAACTGTTTTCACAGTGTTGCAAGATAATTGAATATTTTCACTTTTGATTTTTGGAATGAGTTGTTGAACAAAATCAACACGCCCTTCGAGGGCTAATTTGGTAATTATCTTGGATATGGTGTGAGCATCATGAGTGAAGCCTTTTTGATTAGCAACCCAATTGAAAAACTCCCATGCTGAGTCAGCAGAAGTGAAGCTCCTAATCATCTTTGAAATAAGATGTGTTGTCCAAATGAATTTTGCATTTTCCAATGTTGACACTTCTTCAGACCTCCAAAAACGTAAAGAAGAAGCTAAAATTCTTGGGTCAAACCATGGTCTTAGTTTGAATTTGACTTTGACTTTATCCACATCCTCATCATCAACATCATCATCATTGTCATCGGATAATGTCACGTTTTGAATCCTTTCATCAGGTGACATTTCTTTGATTAACTCCAATGTCTCTTCCACAAATCCTGCATCGTGCATTTTTTGTAATGACGAAAGTACCCTTCGGGTAGGCAAAATTCCATCAACCTGCATTTCATCAAGCAAAGTTTTCACCACATCAAACTGATTGATCCCACAGAATGCTTCCACTAAAATCATGTATTGCCTTAACGTTCGTTTTACTTTAACCTTCATCGATGGCAAAATGGTAAATATTTCCATTGCTGGATTCAAGTTTCCAGATTTCACAAGGTGCTCGATGATTACAGTGTAAGTTCTACAATTAGGAATTTGTCCTTCATCAATCATTCTACTAAAAGTCTTAACAGCTTCATAGTCTTTACCTGTTTGTGCACAAAGTGACATGATGATGTTGTAAGATTCAACATTTGGGGGTTTTTGGGAGAGTTTCCATTCATGCCACACAGAAAGAACAGATTCAAGGTCGTTTGCAGATGCGTACAGCTTCATTTGATCCATAAAGCTTACACGAGCAACATTCCTGAACTTTCCTGAGTTTATGCCATTTACAAGGGCTTTCAGCTTTCCAATTTGGCCGGATTTCGCAAGGATTTTGGCTAAAGCGTGAAGGGTGTTTTGGTTATGAGTGAAATGAGGGATAGTTTTTAGGGTTTCGATTAAGGAAAGCGCAGAGTGTGGTGATGGAGCTGAATTTAGGGCATTTGCGACTACAAAAGTGTCGAGAGAAGGATGATTCAAGATTGACGCAAGTGAGTTTTGGGAATTAGAACGGAGAATGATACGTATCTTATCTATGAGCCTTGCTCTCTCTAGGTAAAGGGAGACTGCGTTCTGATAAGACTTAGTGGCAAAGTTGCGAGCATTGAGAGTAATAATGGGGGAAATTTTAAATCGAAGCATTGAATAGTAGAAAAAAGGCATATTTGAAAACTATATGTCTCGCATGGAACTAAAACGGAAATGGAGCTCCAAACCTTGTCGAAAGAGCTGAAATTGATGATTTTTTATGTACAGATCATACAGGTTGCTATCAGGATCCGGAAAGAATTGAAGAAAATCCAATCGCGTGGATGCAAAATCATTTGAAGAAGTTCAAAAAGCAGGGAGCTTTATGGGACTTACATCAAACAGTTGGTGTGCATTTCGACTTTAATCTTCATGAGTAACGACGTCCAGTGAGAGCACGGAGATCTATGAACATGTAGATGTTTGCACAGATTCTGCACAAAATTTGATCTATCCCATCCCACCCGTAAACTGGTTCGAAGTTTCCCGCCCGATTGTTAGGGTTTTGGGTGTCCGGATTAGGGCTAGATTTTCAAATTTTCCCAAGCACAATATAACGGAAAGAAATCTCCTTTTTTTTGAGATTCAGGTCATATTTTATAGGGGTGGAATTGGTAGGGTACCAAGTTTTTTTTTCCTTCCGTACCAATTATAATTGGCATAAAATTTTACCAACCAATACCTTATCAATGATATTTGGTACCAATTTAGTTGGTTACCAACAAATTTGGTTGGTAAATATTGGTATTGGTATATACCAAAATATTTAAATAATATCTATACTTGAAGCGTTTGAGACTATAATCTATATACGACTTCACATTATAATCATCACTTAATGGTTAGAAAGTTTTCCAAATATGAACGTGAGTTGAAGTTGTGGTCGTCGCTTGTTTTAGTAAATCCTTTTAGTGTCATGTATCTTCCTTAGCCTTGTGTTAGTAATTTCTTTTACTATAATGTTTCGTTCAAAAAAGAATCAATATCAATAGAATTATATTACTAACTCCGACTATTACTTGTTAGTTGTTACTCCTATTTAAAACTTGAAAATGTAAGAATATATATATATATATATATATATATATATATATATATATATATATATATATATTGGTTGGTATGGTACAACCGTTGATTCAAAATTTTGTACCGTTACCGTACCAAGACTACTTAATTGGCATGATATTACCGGCCAAACATATTGGCTACCAAACATGTTGGCTACTGATTTTATTGGTTCGGTTGTTAACATGTTGGTTGGTTCTCCGTGGTACATATTTGCCGGCCCTAATATTTTAAGATTTATCCATTTTTTTCGAAATATTTTCTATTTTGAGGTCACTTAAATTATCTAGTAAATAAATAATAATATATTTAAAAAATTATATATAACATAAAAACTTAAAATGTTGGGAACAGTAAACTTTTTTCTGTTTCTTCTTCCGCTCAAAGTTTTCCTTTTCATAAAAGCGCCCCAGCTCTTCTCTTTTTCCTTTCCATCTTATCTGTTTGGTTTCTCTTTGGGAGAGATTGAGCACCGCCATGACCACCATCTGCTTCAGTTCGGGTAATCCACTACCGTTTTTCCTCCCTGTTTTTCTATATGGATTGGTGCTAAGCTGATGCGATGTGTGTCTATTTCTCCACCATTTTCTTAATCACTGCATGTTCTCCAGGTGTGGACTCCATCGGAAGAAAAAAGTAGAAGAATAATTGAGGTTGCGGAGAACTTCAGTTGCTCAACACCGCGTCGATTTTCTTTCTTCTTCGCATTCAATCCACGATTTCAGGTTTCCCATGTTTGTTAGATCTTCGATTTTAGGTTTACCGTCTTTCCTCCAACGCCTATGCTTTGCCTCAAATCTGTTTTCGTCTGATTTTTTTTCTTTTCTTCTAAAAAGGGGATTCAGTTTCTGGTGATGCGTCTCTCCACCGCTGTTCTGATTACCTTCTCTCTAAAATCGTCAATCATGACCATTGTCTCTGTTTACGCTCAAACATACGCCCCCACAGGGGATTGATAGCGCTCATCAGCGACCAGCACTTCCCACGTGACCCTTCCGTTCGCTACTCTGGGACGAAGGTAAGTCTTGCTTCGTTTTATCTATATTTCCCATTTCTTTTCTACACCGGTTCTGATTCTGAAATCAATTTCTATGTATGAGCTATGTTTTTCGTCAATTTCCTTTTGGCTCATTTTTAATTGATTGCTTCCAGTTGTATTGTTGTTTCCTCCATTACAAAATCAATTGTCGTCTTAATTTTGCCTTCAACGTGTTCGATGAAAGTACTAACGGAACTTTGTTGTTTCAAATATACTTTTTTTTTCTTGATTTGCTTGCCAGTTTGATTATGTTTGTGCTGAAGGTAAATTGTTTTGATTTAATTTTAAAAATTTGAAAACGCTATATATGTTATACAAAACTAAAACAAACGTATGTGTCTTTGGATTGAAGATTTTTAGGGTTTAAAATCAATTTTAGTTCATTATTTGTATAAAATAGGATGAGATTTCATTTTTAAACTGATTTATCACACCATAAACTTAATTGTTCATTGTTTACTTACATGCTGCTAAAGTTGCTGAATCCCTTTAAGCTTATTTACTCAAACATTTTTGGGCAGGTGTGGAAACAAATGAGATTTTCGAAAACCATTGTGGTTGCTGGCATGATAAATCCGCCAATGTTGTTGTGTGCAAGGTGCATTTTTTTATATTTTTATATCTCATAGATCAGAATTTTATAAAATTTGGCTTACATTCTTTATAATTGTACACAGATTATAAATGGTAATTTTGTTGCAGGTAAAGAATCATTTATTGAAAAGAGTAGTCAGAAGTTAAAAAAACATGGATGAGACTATTGCTAAAAAAGAAAAGCCAATTGCAGAAATTGAAAAAACGTTAAAGTGAAGTCAGGTGGAACTCCTTTGCTGCGGGACTTTTTCAATACCCATACCAGTTACCACATAAACCAGAAAGGATACTTTTAAATACAAATAAAATGTTGGGCTAATTGTGAGAAATAACAATGTAGTTTGCCAAGATTACATATAATGGCAACATGCTTCTAATTTTACTCATAATAATATCCTACTTTCATACCAAATGATTATAATTTTTCCCTTATGTTATATCTTTTTTTTAGATATGGTTTAAAAGCTAACTTTATTGCTTTTTTCTCCCTAAATCACAGTTTAACCTTTTCCATGGTCAATAAAGTTGACCGTCATTTTGTTAAATCTGTACAAAAGACCATTTTACCTTTATTTCCATCATTTTTATCTAAAAATGAACCCAATGGATGCATAGAAAGGGAGCATTTTAGAAGTTAATAGCCACCCAGTCTAATTTCTATTTTATATTATTTTCTTATACTAAATGTTTGTGTATATTATTTTAATATATTAGTGGTTTTTGGTACTTTTGGTATTATGTTTGTTGTAGTCTTGTTTAACATTAGACAAATTTATTTAAATTTGGATTTGAAATAATCGGCAGGTCGTTATTACTACTACAGATATAAATGCTTCCTTTTTCTTTTTTGAAATTGTCTATTATTACCCTTTGTGTAAGTTTTAATTTCAGATGTATGCCACATCCTTTTTTGGGCCGAAAAGTATTGCCTGTTTCATGAGGATGATAGAACTGCTAGATGTTGTAGTTGTAAGAAAATGCAGGTATGTTATAATGAATACAATTACTTTGATTTTTTTATTATATATTTAATTTCTTTAAACTTTTATGTTGGTCTTTGTTGGGAATCAATTGGCTGTTCAAAGTGTGGAAGCTAATTTGAGCAGTAGTCTTCCTGTGTGAATCAATTGGTTGTTCAAAGGGATCTAACTTTTCTCTTAGACTCATTTCAAATTCCCCTGATCCAGAAGTTTTCAGGAAGGTGAATCCATTTTTTTACCATGATTGTTTATTTTTATCAATGGAAAGTAACTTTTTTTTTGAGCAGGTTAGGCCCAAAAATCTTTTGGTCCTGGAATAGATTACAATGTTGGATAATGAGCTGGAAGAAGAGAAGAAAATTCATAAGGAGACCCAGGAAAAGTGCAAAGATATTCTACAAGAATTGCAAAGGTAAATAAATAAATGTTGTAACTTATTTATTTGTATACAAGTTAAAATTTTTAGGCGTGATAAATAACTTTTAATTTGGGCGTTTATGTTAGGATTCAAACCGAAACCATCCCGCCTCCTGTTGCTGAGATGCCAAAAGTAACCAGGTGACTGGGATCTGGACTTTTTTTTGGTCTTGAGGGTAAAATGGTCATTTAAAAAAATAAAATTACAGTTCAATAGTTGGACTTGACGAGTCAGGGACTAGGTTGAAACAAAGTGACTCTACAAGGATGTGTCCTATGATAAAAACAAGGACAGTAAATTACCAAACTGGTCATGTGCTTAATGATTTTTATTGTTTTTAGTCTAAAGTTGAATACTTTTCATTTCTGGTCCTTATTTTTAAGTTTTCTATCGATTTTGGTTCCTGAAAAATTTAAATAAGGTATAAAATCAGTTCGTAACCTTGAAATAATGACCGAATGTGATATTAAATCTCGAAATTAGTATTAAAATCAGGAAGTCTCGGTGACTAAAATTAATGTGGAACCGTACGACAATCCGAATTGAAATGTTACATCCTAGCCCAAACCAAAACTTATATTCATCTCCCAAAATTAGAATATTACAGAATCTATCTCACATTTGAGTAGTCGTGTTCATTTTTTTTTACCCCAACATTGTTTCCTAATATCTAAATTATTACCATTTTTTTTTTACTTTTACATTAATTTTATTTTCTGTTTTGGAAAGTAATATTGTGTTTGATTTTTGTGTAGCCTTTGAAAATGATGCAAGATTTTCTCAGAGCTTTCGAAGGGTACTTTTCAAATTCACATTTTCCTTTTTGGGTTTTGTGTAATTTGTATGTTATTGTGTTAAGGGTATAAACGTCTTTTCCATATTTCATGTTGATCAGGCTTTAGGGCAGACATCAGATTGGTTTAGTAGAATTTTCAATCACACAAAAGTAATAAGTAAATATAATATTATCTATTAAAAACAGCTTTAAGTATTTTAGTAGAGTTAAAACTAATATAAGAATATATTTGTGTTTTGTTTTTATAGACTTGCCTCAACATTTTAATAAATATGGGACGAACAAAAACGTCGAATTGTGGACATCATGCATCTAATACAACGAACACCTGTAAGTTGAATTTTGCACTTATCATTCTTTTCACCTGTTTAATGTTTATTTGGTGTTTTTTGATATATCAATATACTTTCATGTGAGTTTTCCATTTCATCTTTAGTGTAATTTACTCTTATTCCTATTTCCTTTTCTAAAATACATATCTCTAATTATTTTTTAAAATCATTTTGTTGGTATCAGATATATCGCATTTTAGTACCTCCATCGGTTGACTCTGATGATAGTTGGTACAGTCGGTACAGATGCCAGCTGAGCATTCAAAATTCAGCTCCCAAACATATTCAACTACTATTAGATATATGATATTCCATCCCTATATGTAATGCGCTCCTATGTTTACTGCATCTTCCTAGAAACCATGTTTTGCTAATGTAGTGGTCTGATGCAATCATTTTTGCTAATCTACTCCTTGCTATGTAACTGATATCAACATCCGTTTCATATATGTAATATCCTTTCATAAATATTATAATATGGTTGCCTATCTACTACAGTTTCAAATAACGAAAGAAAACAAGGTACACAGCGCCAACGGTGCATCTAATTCCATCTAGTCTTATCAAATCATAAATTAATTCTCATTTTCTCGAAACCAATAAAAAATGAGAAAATAACAAATATAGCTTAATCTGCACATTTTTGCTTTGGGTTTCGGGCCTTTGTCTGTGATTTCGGCTAACCTATATTTTTGTTTCGTTTTGAGTTCACAAATTCGCAAATAAAAGTGAAGGTAGTGTGGTCTTCACGGTCTGTTTTTTTTTCTTGGTTTTTAGGTCAAACCGTTAGTAACAGTTTTTGTCAAACGAAAACCGAAACCGAACCATAAAAAATTAAACTGAACCGTTAGTAACGATTTAGCTCCGGTTTGGCTTCACAGTTTAGGCTTTTTAGGCTTATTTGAATAGAGTCCATTAAACTAATTTAGAAAAAAACTGTAATATCCAAAAAAGTTCTAAAAGTTGTCTAATATTATTAAAAAAATGTCAAATACCGCTAAAAAAAAGTTCTAAAAGTTGTCTAATATTATTAAAAAAATGTCAAATACCGCTAAAAAAATATCAAATTAAAGTTGTCAACTGACGAGTTACAAGAATACGAGTTATTGGGCTTCATTCACAATTCTGACTTCACAAGTTCACATCACAAAAAGGATTGGGTAATGGGCAAACCGGTGGATAATTAAATGAGTTTGTGGCTTATGGGTTTTAAATATTTATTATTTGGGAAAATGACACATTACCCAACATCGTATTTCGAATTTGTCCATTCAATCTGTTAACTTATTTTCGTGTTTTTTGAGGGAATAAAGTTGTTTTTGTCGGGTCTAATTAGTCACTTTGGACAAAATGAAGGGGTAAACAGGTTACCCATTGCCAAATCACCAATGTAATATGCCACCTAGGTTTGACCCAATTATTCTTCCATCACTGACTTCTCGTCTTCATCTTTCCACTTTCTTTTCTCCTTTCCAACAATTACATCTATCAAAATCCTCTTACATATCTCAAAGTGAATCTAAAAAATGCGTTTTGACCCTTCGGAAAAGTTAAAATAAAGAGAACTCTAAACCAAATAAAGTGAAGACGAACTTGGATCTTGTTGTAGATAAGGAGTGTAACGCCCTGTTTCAAATAAAGTCCTAAGTCGAGGTTGTGGCCCGAAGAGCGGTCATCATAAGGATTAGGGCCTTTATAAAGGTAAGATTTAAGCCCATTCGGATGTGGGTAATGTAGGTATGTGACCCAATAGCTCGATTTGCACTTTGGGGTCAAGGGTAAAACGGGAATGTAGTGTTTCAGACTTCTTTTATGAATTTTGGATTTTATTTCGGTTGGGTTCCAGGTTAAATAAAGTTTATAGAAGTGTGAGGCTTCTCGTTACCTTTCAGTGGATATAAGGATCGTCGGAATCAGATTTATAACGAAGAAGTTATGGCCTTCATAAGTTTCATGGTTTTCAGGCTTAGCCGAGTACGCGGGGCGTACTAGTGAAGAAGGAGTACGTTGGGCGTACCTTGGAGTACGTTAGGCGTACTGACCAGGATGGTCGCGAATGTTCTTCGGAGTACGTTGGGCGTACGTCAATCAGCTCAGAACCCTATTTTAGGGTCTTGGACCCTATTTAAACACCTTATCTCATAATCTAACCCTAATATATTCAGCCTCCACCCCTCTAAACCCGAGAAATCATCCTCAATCATCCATGGTGACATTTTGGAGCTCATGGAGTCCATTTTTGGAGTATTTGGTCCATTTCCAAGAAGGTGGAGTTGATGCAAAGATGGGGGGGATCAAGGAGAAGCTTATGGATCTGGCTTTTGTGACTCATTTTCAGCTTAATGAAGGCATAAAGCTTTGAACTTGATCATTCATCTCTTAGATCTATCATTTATGGGTTTTGGTGCCTTTTTGGTCCCAAGGATGAAGCTTTATGGTTCAAATCCGATTCTTAGGCTTAGGGTTTCCACCCTTGGTGCTATTTGAGTCCCTAAGGCAGAAAGTTGCCATCTTGGAGGTCTTAATGGGTTCATGTAAGAGTTATGGCTATTTTCATGAAAGTAGATTGTTATACTTTGAGTATTGGGTTCATGTGGGTCATATAAGTCACCAAGTCAGTGACTTTATGGATTAAGACGTTAAGTAGAACTCAGATCTGTAATTTGGTCCCTTGGTTTGAAGCATTAAGTGCTTAATTGCAAAAAGGACTTAACAGAGGAGTACGTTGGGCGTATAAGCTGGTACGCGCAGCGTACAAGTCACGAACCTAGTACGCGCTGCATACAGATGAGTACGCCCTACGTACTCAGTTAGGATGGGGTTCGCTTATTGGGCTTCAGTGTAGGAATGATTTCTAGAGCCCAAGAGCGGGAGACTTGTTGGGAGCACCTTAGGAAGAAGGGTATTAGGTGGGAGGTCTGAGGACAGGGTTCCACAGGATGGTTATTCAGCATTGTCAGGGATCAGTGGTTTTAGTAACCGTTATTGATTGGAGGATGAAGGCGTTAAAAGAAGTAGCTCGTTGCTGAGGTATTTGATGAAGTATCTGTCTTTTGGTCTTCAAGATTTGAGTGTGGGATCATTCAAGCATTAGGGACTGTCGGTTTTACTGGGATTCAGGAAGTGTTCATCTGGTTCTTAGAAGTGTGTGATCATTTGGGATTGGCTAGTAATGGAGCGCTAGTTAGAAGAGTTGGTTGTTATCGGATCGATCGTTGGAAAGTGAGAAAGTTTGGGAATTCTCCAATTTTCATGTATTGTGAAGACTTAGTCGAAACTAAGTGGGGGAGAATCATCCCGGGATATAAAAGCAGGAGTGGTGTTGAAAATGGGATAAGTTTCGCATCGTTGTCAGGAAGGAAGACAACCCAAGTGGCTGTTTGGTTTGAGGGTTGTGTGAGTTGGGAGTTCGGTAAAACTCCCCAGCATGGGTATCACGTCTTCTCGGTTGTTGATAACAGAATTTGGGGGATCAGGTTGGAGTTCTGGTCATGAATTGAGTTCAGTTCGAGTATTCGGTCGAGGGTGTGCTCGACTCTGAGGGTTTTTGGATTGATAGATTGAGGGTTTTGTTAGTTGCCAGGGCTCGGCAGTACTTTCCGCACGGGTTTGTGGGTTATTTAGCATATGTGGTAGATACGCGGGTCAGGGAACAGACCACGGATTTCCAAGATGGTGGACGATCGACATGAGGCCTAGGGTTAGGCCGGGGTTAGAGTCCACGGAATGGATCAGGAGTTCGGAACCCCAAGTGGGTGAGAATAGTCTGTATGGGAATGATCACCAGGAGGGGTGGTCCAGGGAGATGCTCAACAGTTTAGAGCGGTCCGGATAGACTGAAGGTCTGGTGAGGCGGTCCATTCATGCTGAAGACTTTGTATGTGTTTGTAGATATGTGTGCGGGTATTGAGTATGCTGCTATGCTATAGCAATCAGTAGGTCTGTCCCCAAGTATGGAACATGGTGATGGAGTATGATGAAGACTTTGTATGGGTTTTGTTAGTTATATGATCAAGTTCTGAGTATATATGTGTTATGGGTAGCAACTTGTTCTACAAGTGGATAGTGTAGGGTGAGGTTTCAGCACTGTGACACTTGTTGGTGTTGTGAAGGACAATGATTAGGCCTTCTTGAGCAATGGGGGAGGTGAGTACCTCCAGGATGGAGTCCTGGACAACTGAAGTGATGACATCAGTGTCGATAGGTTATCGGGAGCATTCCACTCATGAGTTGAGGGCCGGAGAGGGCATACCAGACTCATGTTGTGGGCTCAGAGGCAATCCAGACCTATGTTGAGAACCATGTAAGGGTATTCCAGTCATAGGTTGTGGGCATAGATATTGTGTTGGTTATGTCTCTTGTAGGAGCGTGTTCGGATTGGATGTATTGTTGAGATTCGGGGGAGTTGCACTCGGTTGTGACGAATCAGAGGATGCTGGATGAGACGCAATGATAGATCCTTGGATCTCAAGTTATGGGTTAGACCCGAGTTATGTATATAGTGGTATTCCAATCTAGGGTATTCCATCATGAGGATGACCGTACCCTACGATTGAGTGCACCTGACGTGTTTGGTATTCCAACCCGAGGGTTGATTGGACCAAACATGTGCGTGATGCGAGTGTATTCTATCATAGGGATGATTGGACCCGTTGTAGGCATGCCTGGTATTCCAGCCCGAGGCTGATTGGGCCAGGTGTGAGTGTCCGTGCTCGTGAGATGATTGTTATCTGTATGATGGATCAGGAGTTAAAGGAAGCACTGTCTTGTCGGCACTTAAGGGTTCACCTCTCAGTTTGTCTCCCATTGTTCATCATATCCTTGGAAATATTGTCATAAGAATTAGCTTCCTCCAGAAGGATTATCGAGTCTCTTTTGTCCAGTAAAGAGTTCTCGGCAGTAGAGTATGATATGTGGTTTTGTACTCTGGTAGGGACCTCAGGTTATCAGTAGTTGAGTAGCCAGTTAGGAGTTAAGTGCAATGATCCGGTGGGGGTGGTCTGTCAGGGAGTTAGACCCTCTCGAGACTTCAGATTTCAAATTGAGTAAATGTGATCATATTGAAAGGGATTCGTTTATCTTCAGTTTTAGAACCCTGCGAAGGTTGGTTATGGTTGCCTTGGAAAGGCTGGGGTTATGCTTGGGATTATGCATTTTCTTCGGGTTGGAATTTTCTGTGGAGTTAGCCTCCCTAGAAGATCGTCATACGTTATGGTTGTGAATGTGCCCCTCGGGATTTCGTGTTGCCAGGATTGGTAAGAAACGATTTTGAGGACGAAATCAATTTAAGTGGGTGAGAGTTGTAACGCCCCTGTTTCAAATAAAGTCCTAAGTCGAGGTTGTGGCCCGAAGAGCGGTCATCATAAGGATTAGGGCCTTTATAAAGGTAAGATTTAGGCCCATTTGGATGTGGGTAATGTAGGTATGTGACCCAATAGCTCGGTTTGCACTTTGGGGTCAAGGGTAAAACAAG